CCCCCCCCCCCCCCCCCCCCCCAGATCACCGTCGGCAAGTTTCCGAATTCTTTGTTGTAAAGTTTCTTGCGCTAACGGTGAGTGAGACTATTCATTGGTGTTGGGATATGGGAACATAATCTCCTCACAAGCTGCTTACAGTTTCTAGCGGTTTGAGTGTGTGTGTGTGTGAGAGTGTGGATGGAACACTATCCATTCAAACTGGTTAGATGTACGGCATTGTTGGTGTGTGTGTGTGGACATTCTCTCTCTACAAACTGGTGTAAGTAAGAAATCCTGTTCTTTTTTGTACACATAATCGCTTAACAAAATGCTGTAAGATATGTAGCTTTTTTGTGTACATTCCATACAAACTGGTCCAAATCTGGCTTTTTGGTGTACATTCCATACAAACTATTCCAAATCTGGCTTTTTGGTGTACATTCCATACAGACTGGTCCAAATCTGGCTTTTTGGTATACATTCCAGACAAACTGGTCCAAATCTGCCTTTGTTATTTACATTCCATACAAACTGGTCCAATCTGGCTTTTTTGTGTACATACTTTCCATTCAAAGTGATTGCTGGTGTACAATGTAAGCACAATCGCCATACAAAGTGCTTAGATGTCTGTTATGTTGGACAAAGTGCTAGATGTATATGGTGTTTTCTTTATTATGGTGTCCATTATATGGATAATGTTTCACATGCAGAGAGTGTGTTATAAAGAATGTAGACGTCCATTTCTCATTAGCTTAGGAATACCTCCCCCTTTCCTAGCCCTGAACGAGTTGTGATAATTGAGATAAATGTAATGAATGTTACATGTGTAATGTGCATGCTTCATAACCTAAACCAAGTCCACTGACGGGATGTTTTGATGTCTTTGCTTGTTACAGGTAACATCAGATGACTTGATCAGCCACATCATAGTTTGGTTTTTTATTGGGGGATCTTTGAAGAATTCCTGGTCAGATTCAGCCTTCTAACCTTCCCTTGATTTTAGGATAACTTTTTCTCCAGGTGAGTTCATGTTGTTTAACTTGAAAAATGAGGGGACAGATGTGCCCACCCCCCCCTCCCCAACCATCTAATCCAACCTCTGGTTGTAGTTGCATAAGTTATGTTTTAGTATATAAAAAATATAGATAATTTTATTGCTAAATGAATTAATATGTGACAATTCTTTACCCATCAGACCTCAAAAATGACATAAGTTTTGACAATAGTAATGTTAAGCCTATATAAAAACAAGGCTGCGGCTATTCGGACCCAGGTCCGATAGGTGAGAGTTTGGGTTTATTAAAAAAAGTATTTTAAAATTATTGTAGGGTTTGTAAGACAAAATGAGGCATCAAATGAAAGATAATTGAGTGGACTATAGGTTTGTAATTTTTACTCCTTAAGTTTAACTTAAACAAACTACCACAAACGACAACCCTAATTGCATTTAGACAAATTGGACATGGACACGCAGCGCCGCTATTCGGACGTGGGTCCCTTTAGACTCAATGCTATTCCGATGTCATTGGTGGTAGTTTATTTTAGTAATTGTGTTATCTAAATGTAACAGTGTTATCTCAATGTAACAGTGTTATCTCAATGTAACAGTGTTATCTAAATTTAACAGTGTTATCTAAATGTAACAGTGTTATCTAAATGTAACAGTGTTATCTAAATGTAACAGTGTTATCTAAATGTAACAGTGTTATCTCAATGTCATGGTGGTATCTCAATGTAATGATGTTATCTCACTGAAATGGTGTTATCTCACTGTAATGGTGTTATCTCACTGAAATGGTGTCATCTCAATGTAATGGTGTCGTCTCACAGATAGATGCCACAACTCATGATTGAACTGGCTGACTGACGAAACAAATATCCAAATATCGCATCATGGCGGTCAGAGGTCAAGGGCAGTTGACCCTGTTCTCTGTACTGATGAGAGTCCTGCTGGTGTTTGTTGGTGTCCAGACTCAGGCCATCACCACGTCAGACTCCTCCCAGGGGGTGTGTACAGTCAAGGGGAGGGTATTCACACAGAGGAAGTAAGTCACTCTCTTTAATGACAGGTCTATCCTCTTTTAGAACCATCATCCTTCTCAACCATCATCCTTTTCGCGCAACCATCATCCTTCTATCCACCTCCTTCTCAACCATCACCCTTCTCAACCATCACCCTTCTAAACCATCATCCTTCTCAACCATCACCCTTCTCAACCATCACCCTTCTAAACCATCATCCTTCTCAACCATCACCCTTCTCAACCACCACCCTTCTCAACCATCACCCTTCTCAACCATCACCCTTCGCAACCATCATCCTTCTCAACCATCATTCTTCTCAAGCATCACCCTTCTCAACCATCACCCTTCGCAACCATCATCCTTCTCAACCATCATTCTTCTCAAGCATCACCCTTCTCAATCATCACCCTTCTATCCACCTCCTTCCCAATCATCACCCTTTTCAATCATCACCCTTCTATCCACCTCCTTCTCAATCATCACCCTTCTATCCACCTCCTTCCCAATCATCACCCTTCTATCCACCTCCTTCCCAATCATCACCCTTATATCCACCTCCTTCCCAATCATCACCCTTCTATCCACCTCCTTCCCAATCATCACCCTTCTATCCACCTCCTTCCCAATCATCACCCTTCTATCCACCTCCTTCCCAATCATCACCCTTCTATCCACCTCCTTCGCAATCATCACCCTTTTATCAACCCATGATTAGCTCTCCTACAAGCTTACTATGATAAGCTCTCCTACAAGATTACTATGATAAGCTCTCCTACAAGATTACTATGATAAGCTCTCCTACAAGATTACTATGATTAGCTCTCTCACAAGCTTACTATACCCTCTGCCACAAGCTTATCATGATTAGCTCTCCCACAAGCTTATCATGATTAGCTCTCCCACAAGCTTATCATGATTAGCTCTCCCACAAGCTTATCATGATTAGCTCTCCCACAAGCTTATCATGATTAGCTCTCCCACAAGCTTATTATGAGTAATGACAGACCCTAAGATTTAATCCACCTTTTTTATTTTTAATATTATACCGGCTCAATAAATCAAAGACGATATCATTGACCACTAACTGACCACTTGTACATTTACTCCCACCAGCTGGTATGGGTACCTGGTCCACAAAGCTTTCCACCGAGACTACGCCAAGATCCAGTACCAGATTACCTACCCGGTCAAGGAGTGCTGCGCTAATCTCTTAATCTATTATGATGACCAGGTCAAGCAGCTGCGGTCATCTATGACATGCGAGGACAGGCTGGCTGTGCTACCTCCGGATAACAACCAGGTTAAAATAAGTTATCTCTGACCACTGGTCATTTAACTCACATGTAGAGAGCAGAGAGATGTTTTTAAGTAATTAACAGATTTTTTAAAAAAATAGTATTACCATCTTGTATAAATAATTTGCTGACCCTAATAGCATCATTAAACTGACCATCCGAACTGTAGGTGATCCCACTCAGGGCCAGCAACGACTCAAGCGGCTGCACTCTGTGGAACGAGACGGGGGAGGCCTTCTACGTGTGCCTAGGAGAGAGAATCTTTCGATCCTCCGTTCCCAGGACCTGGTTCTTTGCCATCAGCAGATGTGACAGGAGCGGTCCATTAAATCTGAACTACGTCTTCAACATCACAGGTAACAGGGAGTTGGGCTGAGAAATATATAATGTTTTTTAATCGTTTTTTTTTTTTTCATTGAAAGTGGGGGTGTGAGAAAGGGGCTGGGTTTTTTGGAAAATGTCATGGTACATTTTTAATTCAGTGGTACAATGGGCTACACCCATAGTGAAAATGTCCACTGTGATTGGTCAGTCTTGTTAATATGGTCAGTCTTGTTAATATGGTCAGTCTTGTTAATATGGTCAGTCTTGTTAATATGGTCAGTCTTGTTAATATGGTCAGTCTTGTTAACATGAAACCCTTAGGCCACAATGTTTTTACTATTTCATCTAGAGCAGTGATCCCTAAACTATTAAGCGTAGTGGTCCTGTGAATAAGTTGGCCCCTGCACAAGAGACAGGTGTCAGATTTAGTCATTATTTTCGTACTTCCTATGTGTCAGAAATTATTTCAAAGTCTGCAATAAGCCCGTGTGTGAGTAATCCATTTAATGCTTGCTCTTACAAGTTTTTATGTTACGTTCGTTAAACTTTATGTACCTTTTATCCAATTTCTCGTCTCATATTGTGGGTACTGGCAAGGTAAGGCCAGCTAACAACCACTTTGGGAAAGATACCAAGAATCCATCAATGAAAAATAGGATTAGTGTTAAAAAGTTGTTTTTTTTATTTAAAGAATGAGCCATAGATATTTGAAAGTAAAAAAAAAAAAGAAAAACACTGAATGGTAAAAAAACAAACAATTCTTTTTGCAGAATACATATAAATCAAAGCATCATTGTCATAATATCAAAGCGTGATTGTTATAATATCAAAGCGTGATTGTTATAATATCAAAGCGTGATTGTTATAATATCAAAGCGTGATTGTTATAATATCAAAGCGTGATTGTTATAATATCAAAGCGTGATTGTTATAATATCAAAGCATCATTATAACTATCTGACTTGTCTATTTTATTTGTCTAATCCCCCACCATTTCTGTCCCTGACCAGGTTACTATGGTGAGTGTGAAGATGACCCACTGGCTCCCTCGTCAGGCTGGAACTCCTACGTTGGATACCTCGAGAACAACCAAGAGTCCTCCACCAGTGAGGACGTCTATAAATACCTCTCCATTTCCCTCGGGATCGTAGCAGGGATTGGCCTCATTTTGGCCGCTGTGTTCTTCGGCCTGTGGTTCATGGGCATGAAGAATGCATCCAAGGCCAAAGGAAGCTCTGTGACGTCGTCGCAGGCAACCATGACGCAAGATGACATCTTCTATGTCAACCCGTCGCTGTCGGACAGAGAGCAGGCGGACTACAGTCAGAGCAGTTCAGAGAATTACTATGAGGTGATTCCGGAACGTAGAAGCTATGAGAGTATCAACACCGGACTGGCCAACGGTGGGGTCCACCTGCGACCCCTGAGGTCGGTCCACGGCTCAATCGGCCACCACCCTCATGGCCATCATCATGCCCACGGCCACCTGCACCATCAGCACCAAGCCCACATGGCCCAGCCCAAGGAGAACCCCAACATCAGGGGCGTTCCCTACCTGTTTGAGGACTATCCACCCCCACCTTACCAACCCCCTCGGCTGCTGGGTATTGCTAAGAACAACGCCCTGGGCCACCCCCCTGGTCACAGTCACACCCTCTCCCTTCCGACCAATCAGCGTCAGCGGCCTGCCCTCATCCATCATGCTTACCACTCTAGTCTGGTCCCAACCTCCGCCGCCCTCAGCAATAACGGTGCCACTAGCAGTGGAGCATCCGCCAGCAACAGTGGGATGATGTCTGGGCTTATGAGTATGAGCAGTGGAAACAACGGCCTCGGGAATATGATGAATAACAACAACAGCGGCCTCCTCTTCAACAGCTCCGGCCAGGCTGTTCCCAATAGTTTGGGAACCTTTGGAGGCGGGGCCGGGAACGCACTCTCCAATCAAGGAGGCGGCATCAACATAACATCACTTGTCAATCACCAGCTGATGAGCAGCATGCAGCCCCATTCTCTAGCCAATAGCAGCCAGCCTTCAAGCTCTAGCGGTCCGCTCAACAGCCTGGCCTCAGCCTTGAACTCTGCCAACTGCCCCGCCCCTGGCCCCGGTCAGTCGGAGACTAGTGCATGAAGGTTTGGCCATGACGTCCTGCTCGTGGACGTCATAGCTGGCCAATCAGAGACAATCCTTTGATCACGTGACCTAAAAAAGCTGGCCAATCAGAGATGTTCTATTGATCACCTGGCCTCAAATGGTCCGTACACGAGCATTCACACTCACACCAGCATCTCTGGTACTCTTGCAGCTGACCCGACGTTGTAAATCAACTTAACATCTTTGTTGCATCCTTGTGGAGTTCTACCATGTTCCATGGGACTAACCCAATATGATTACATTGTACATTACTTAGATGATGCTGACATTGAAGGCAGGCAAATGCAGGAAGAAGCCTGCAGTGATAAGCGTGGCTCTCACCTTTTGCTACTCTAACAGATTTATGTGTTGTATGTGGAAGGATAAAAATTGTCTTGTCCCTTTGAAGGATACAAAATTTGTCTTGTCCCTCGGAAGGATACAAATTTGTCTCTCCCTCCTCGGAAGATACAGAAATGTTGCAGCAATGGATACCAAAAATTCTCAGATGTGGATACCATCCATGGATACCGTGAGTTACTATTCATGGATGCCAAGAGTTAATGTGACTGTGGATTAATTTTTGGTGTCAGTTCCTATATGAAACCTGATCACTTTTATTTAAAACCAGATGTTCACTTGTCAAAGCAGATGTTCACTGGTCTCACTCTAACAGATCTGACCCCAGGCTCATATGTCAGCAGGCACTTAACTGCATGGATTAACAATGGTTTAATGCTCATCATTAACAGGTCATCATTAACAGGTCATCATTAACAGGTCATTTCTTACCCGGCCAAGGTCACAAGTTTTTGATTTCCTTTTTATTTTTATCCATCCTCAATGGATATCTGGACCAAAGGGGATCTTGTCCTAGAGCTGACCATGTGACGTCATCCTAGAGCTGACCATGTGACGTCGCCCTAGAGCTGACCATGTGACGTCATCCTAGAGCTGACCATGTGACGTCACCCTAGAGCTGACCATGTGACGTCATCCTAGAGCTGACCATGTGACGTCATCCTAGAGCTGACCATGTGACGTCATCCTAGAGCTGACCATGTGACGTCGCCCTAGAGCTGACCATGTGACGTCATCCTAGAGCTGACCATGTGACGTCATCCTAGAGCTGACCATGTGACGTCATCCTAGAGCTGACCATGTGACGTCATCCTAGAGCTGACCATGTGACGTCATCCTAGAGCTGACCATGTGACGTCATCCTAGAGCTGACCATGTGACGTCGCCCTAGAGCTGACCATGTGACGTCGCCCTAGAGCTGACCATGTGACGTCGCCCTAGAGCTGACCATGTGACGTCGCCCTAGAGCTGACCATGTGACGTCGTCCTAGAGCTGACCATGTGACGTCGTCCTAGAGCTGACCATGTGACACCATCCTAAAGCCCATGCCAGGATGTTGTCTTATTTCATGAGAGGCCAGAGCTAGTCAACAGGGCACTGATGTGGTGCCCTCTGGGGAAAAGTTTGTGAAGACGTTTTCCATGGAAAGTTCAGAACTCAATTCTTGGGAAGTGTTAAATTTTGTGGCCTACACAAAATTAAATGTGTTGATCGTGTTGAATGTCTTGACTGTGTTATTGGCAGAACTGGAGACACCCATTTATTACTTTTGAGGCATCCATTTCATGTTGGGCAAAGTGTACATTCTTATCAGCTTATCATCTTATCATCTCTCCTACGACAGTCCTGTCACATGATTACTGGAGATCGTCAACAGATCTCAAACACACCATCATCATATGAAACTGACAGATGCTATATGATAATTTCAGTTGTATTATTAAAAATAAAGGGGGGGGGGGGGTTTGTCACTCTGTGGATTCAGCAACCTGAAAGATTACAATACTTAGACCAAGTTTTTTTTTTTTTCTCACCATTCGTGGATACACCTTTAATCTTGCTGAGGTCATCATCCATGGATTAGTCTTACTTCCAGTGGAAAATATTTCATAACTTTGGATTCAGTTTTAGCACCATTAATGCCACCTACATGTACATCATAATAAACAGTATGTAGCATTTTTTTGGCTTTATGTCTTCAACAAATCTGATTATTGATCTCATGAAACATAATACATGAATTAGTCAATTTTTTTTTTTTTAAATTAAAATATTGGACTTTTAAAAAATACTGCACTACATTTGAGTTTTGGCTTTTGTGAGTTGCTTTATTTGGACTGGAAGATTTTCTTTCCTTTTAACAAAAAAAAATCCTAGTTTTTTTTTTAAAAATTAGGATGAGGAATTTCGACAAAAGTATTTGTTCTTTTGGCTTGATATGGCAGATAAGTAGTCCTTGATGCTTGATGATACATTCCCCTTACATATATACATTATTTTTTTTTTAAGTTCTGTTCTGTTAAAGGCAAGCAAAGCAGTATAAAGTCATGAAGATAATTGAGGTCCTAATTAAATTGTGTTCTGAGAATTGTCTCTGGAACTCTAAATGAACATCCAATATTGTAACAGCAATTGTCCTAGAGCTGACCATGTGACGTCGTCCCAAAGCTAATGCCAGGATGGTATGTGGCCTTTGACCTATTGAAACCTATTTGATCGTTTCATTAACAAACTTAATTATGATAAGCAAAGAGCAAACAATCTATTTCAATATCTGCCCATGAATGAAGGTTCTCAAGTTATCATCCATCTTTAGTCACTTACCAACTATTCAATCAACAATAAATTACTTCATTAATTACATCATCCAAGAAATTTTATGAACAAAATTTCATGCAAACAGTTTTTGAAATTCTAAAGTTAATTTTTTTTTCAGGCTCATTCATTTCTCATTTTTAAATATTACAACATTGTGTCTCATTATTGGAGGGAAAATAATAATAATAATAAATTATTTCCAACAGGCCAGCTTTAAGAAGCTAAGGTTACACATTATGGAAACTCATGTATTTTTTGTTATGATAATCCTGAATTTTATATTGTCATCAACTCCCTCCCCCCCTCCCCCCCAATCCTCATCTCAGTGTTGTACTCACTTATTGGTGTACCTGTACAGTGTACACTTGTGTATACAGATTCACTCAAAAAAATGAATGTGTGTTTGAAGAATTTTCAAGAATAAAACGTGTTTTTAAATTTTACCTGAAAATCTTACGGTACATTAGAATTTTAAAATATGCTCATGATGTTCTGTCGTTGCGAATCGGATTACTTTTTTTTTTTTTTAAATTAACATTCCTTTGTGATTGTTGGATATACTATATACAGTGAAGAGGTGTGTTTGCTGGATGTAGTGAAGAGATGCAAATTTTACCTGAAAATCTTACGGTACATTAGAATTTTAAAATATGCTCATGATGTTCTGTCGTTGCGAATCGGATTACTTTTTTTTTTTTTTAAATTAACATTCCTTTGTGATTGTTGGATATACTGTATACAGTGAAGAGGTGTGTTTGCTGGATGTAGTGAAGAGATGCGTCTGCTGGATGATTAGTCAACAGCTAAGACTACCATGACACAACTGAAATGTCGCCAATGTTAAATAGTATTCTGCCCTCTTCATAACTTACTCATGACTAACTTACAATTCAATGTTAAAACATTAATATTTGTGAATATTTTGTTTCATTTATTTGACGGTACTCTTATTATATGGAACTCAGCCCAGTTGCTTGTTGAGGGTGTAAATAACTCTTGAATTTGAAAAGACAGGATATTTTTTTTTTTTTAAATTCTCCAGTAAGGATTTTTTTTTTTAAAGTGCTTTATGTAGAATAGATCTGATTAGCATTCATCTACTTTGCACTCGTATATTTTACTTGTACTTGGACACAACATAATACTTGGCATGCTTTAGGTTTAAACATGACATCAATATTATGCTTGTATCTTTCTGTCACATAATGTGATGTGACATAATTTTGTATATATGTGTCTTATGTCCAACATAGCTTTCTTTTTGTCACATGTTCATCATAACTTTGCATATGTCTGTCAGGCGTCCAGCATAACTTTGTATGTGTCTGTAACATGTCTAACATAAATTTGGATGTTTCTGTGAGATTTCCATCTTGACTTTGCATATAGGCCTATGCTTTCTGAGCAAACAGAGCTATCAGTAAATTTGATATGCCAAAAGATTGTACCATCTACCCATTTGCATGCACAAGGGATATTTCGTTTAGGATATCTCTGTGGTATCTGTCTTAGACTGACCACTGTTGTTAGCTGCATGTCTTTGTCAACTCTTACAGTTCAAAATGATATTGATTGTTCTTATTTTTCAAATTAAAAATATCTTAAATTAATATAGTTAACTAAAACTGTACCTCGGACATAATCCAATTTGTATGTTCATGTATTTTAGTAATGTAAACTCTTGCAGTATTTTTTTAAGTTTAAAGTTTAATCAATTGTGGGCCCCCCCCAAATGCTCCCAATCTTACATGGTCATTACCAAACAATACCAGGGTTGCCCAGATAATGTCCATAAGAGATGCCCTAAAAGATGGCATATGGTGCATGTCCTTATCTATGTCACAGAGTTGTTGGGGGGGGGGGGGGGGACATTTTTTTTTTTTGATGGCCTATATCTTCAATGTAAT